TATTATAAACATCAAGAAAAGGGATTCGCATACTACGAAAGCATAAGAAATAGAAATGAATTGCTCTTCGCGAGAAAAACTTCTATGCACTTTCGCGAAGGTTATTCATATCACTTGAATGTTAAATATTTATACAAACAATTTCTTCATTTCGAAAGAATCTCTTGCAGTTGAGAGACCTGACATTTAAGATCCTTTTCATTTAACGTCTAGCTGGAATTTTGTTCGTTCGCAATTACAGGAGGCATGACTCGACTTTTCCAAGGGTGGATCCACGCAATCCGGGAGCGCGGTAAGCGGCGGAGACGAACTTCTAATCGGGAAGCAAATTAGGACGCGCGATAACGGCGCCGTCAAAGCGGAACTCAAAGCATGGCACAAAGGCGCTCGTCGCCCCCCCATAGAATTCGACTGTAATTTCGGACGTGATGCAGCAACATTTTCGGGGTGAGATATATTTGCCGTCGTAACACTTGCCGGCTGCCGCTGAGTGATGGATGGAAAACAATAATGGCACCCGTTAGAGGGTTGCGCAGGAAGCGCATTAACGCGGCCCACCTTTTCGTCATTCTCAGGTGAAGGAGCCGATTGTGGCTACCGGCTATTCGTGAACCTCCATCGAACCACCCAAGAAGCAGTCTACGAGGGTGTTTCGAGTAAATGCGACCACATTAACGCGAACGCTGTTACAACGACCGTTTTATTTTCCTCTGAGAGTGAAAATGGCACGCTTTTTCTTCTCAGACCTTTGTCTGATGAATATTTTTCCTTTCACGGTGTTCATTTATTTATATTTTTCGTGAATTATGTATAACGAGTGATTAAGTAGATAAGCTTTCACTTGGGATCTGATGGAGAATGTAAATTTTGTTAAAACTGATAAAAAATATGTAGTATAGAATGGAAAATGTATTGCTTTGAACAATATGAATATTGTATTTACCAGTAATTTTTTAATAAAGCAATTTATTAAAATATTCTACTTTCATTGAAAATGTCAGTTCATGAAAATACATATATTCAACTTTGGTGTCGTTAAAAATAATAGAGATATTTGGGATGGTTGAAATAAATTAAATTTTGAATACACAAATATGAATGTCTTTAAAACGTTATGTTCAAAGAATTGCAAACAAGTAGTAGTAAGAATTTAATAATCTACTACTATTACTTTTAAAAAAATGTATTCAAACTGCCTTCAATTAGTTCAAGTACTCATACTAGAAACTATCATAAAAACTATTTTCTGAGCAATGAACTGTGTAACATAAATAAATGAATTCTATGTTAAGTAGAAGTATTTTTAATAATGTGTTTATCGTTATAAGATGTCACGACAAAATAATTATTCGTGGTTTCATAAAAAAACATGTAAAAAAGCGTACATCAGAAGTATGTAGTAAATAACATCAAACGAAACTTTCGAAATTATCTTTTAATATACTGTTCTCTGGAAATGCTTCCAATTTCGAAAAATGTTATCAATTCATCCTAAATTACACTTATAAATTCTTGTATTGATGTTTCGACATAAAACGGACTGACGATACTTGCAACGCCTTACGGAGTATGCGATTAGCACTACATACTACATTTCGCCATAAAAAGTGAATTTTCTACCATATTAAAGCTAATTCGCTAAACCAGACTTACGGTTTTTGCACATTTTGCTCCGAAAACTTAAAAACGCAATAATTATTCGCATAACGAATTAAAAAAAGGAGGGGAATGTAAATAAAAAAATTTTGGAGTTGGGAGTGGGAAGTTCGAACAAAGAACGAAGAGCAGGTTAAAGAAACGTAACGAGCACTAATAACCACTGGAATTAATTAACAGCGGCGGAGAGTGAAAGAAGCACAATCCCGGGCCGAGTACATTCACCGGGGAAGAATACATTTTAAACACACCACTCGACGCGTCCTGCGCGTCTAGGATTTAAGAAGACCGCACAGCAGCTAGTTTTCTAAATACGAAACCGCTGAAAGGGAGGCTTCTAAAGGAATAAAAGATGGGAAAACGAAAAAGAGAAGCATCGGTCTCTGACTCGGTCTTTGCATCTCGTTTCGCCGGAAGAAAATATTTGAATGGGGCAGAGGCAAGAAAGGGAGGAATAAAAATTCGAAAGAGGCAGACGATAGAGCACAGAGTAGTGATGGGATCAAGTTCAAAATGTATTCACGCGCGTGTCAATCAATTGGACATTTGAAATTTTTAGTTAGAAAGTTTGGTGAGTCATGATTTCTTTTAATTTTTGACACAATATCATGTAGGAGTGTCAATTGTTAATATTTTCAAAACTGTTGTTGATAAAAGAAGATGGTTTACATTAAAGTTAAGTAGTTTGGGAAATAACATTATTTGATTTCAGTATTTCTTTTTAGACTAATTCATGGATAATATATGACAGTCAATTATTAATTGTACACGAGAATGGGAAAGGCTTTTAAACCAAATTAAACCGTTTATAGATCTTTAGATGGTTTACTAAAAAAAAGAGTATTTCGTGTTAAATTTTAATCCTGTAACCTAATTGGGGCGGTGATAATTACAGGGGAAAATTGGATTAAATAAATAGTTTGATTGTATTTACCCCATGTAATAGCATGCAAAAGATCTGAAAACTATTTTTGAACATTCTGGCCGCATATTCTAAATGTAAACTAAAAAGTACGACAAAAGATGTAGATTTTTTATATATTATTTATTTTTTATCGTTATATTATTTATACGTTTACGATAACGCCTTATTGTCGCACCTACTATCTTCACATTTTTTCAAATTTCTTGATAATACAGGACACAACTGAAAAAAGTAAGAACAGATTTCTATTTTTTATTCGCATAAGAAAGAAAATTGAACTTTGAGTTTTTATATTCCAATAAATTAAAAATATATTTAGTATTTATGCTGTCTCAAATTTCTCATTATGGTCAAGGTTAAATACTATGCAGAGTTATTTACTTGTAAATTGAAGAAGAAAAAGAAATAATGATTCTAATAAAAGAAAATAATAAGACCAAATAGTTCGATATCTTGGTACTTGTGCTACCGGTATGTTTAACCTCTGTAGTAACGATATTCTAGTTCATTCAACAAAATCACGGAAAGGTATTTCTTTAGCTGCAGATTTTGTTCCCCTCTTTCAATGAAATCATGCAATTTCTCGAACACTAATCGATAACGTAGTTTATGATTCTATCTAAGGATGCATTAAGATATTTCTGCCAAGACATTATTAGATTAAGAGATACTCAAATATCAAAATCTGTCTGCGACTCACTTGGTCCCATCGCTAGCCGAAAGCAGCGTGTCGAGGGCAAATTAAAGAGGAACTCGCGAGAAAGGAGGAAAAGCGTGGAACGTGGATCGAGGAGGCTCGTTCTGCGGTCATTAAAAACGCGGGTCCCGTCGTTCTGGCTATTAGAATGACAAATGACGTCGTTGACGGTGCCAAATTAGTGCGATGAAAGGACAACAGCTACCAAGAGCCCGTCTTGACGGGAACTGTACGCGGAGGCATCAGTCTGCTTGTAAAATCTCTGCCAAAAGACGCGGACGACTCTCTCCGAAAGAGGTTGCCGCGGCGAATAAAATATCGGACAACCGTCCGGCTTTATCGCTTCACCTTTATTGCTGTCATTCCCTCGACACTCTAATTTCCAGCCAGAAATACTCGCAATTAACTCACCGTTCTTTTCCTTGGAACAATTAACGGGGAACGAATTCACGGGGAAATAATCAAAGGAGCGCTCGTACGCGAATCCATTCATTAAGGTTAAGTAGCGTTTACGGAAGCCCTATCAGTTCGGTATTAAACTGCTAGTAGGATTATCGTAGTATTACGTGGTAATTAGACTGCAATGAACCCCCGTGCTCCAACCGTGCGATTTCTTGCTCCATTTGTGTTGATATTATCGTACTTGATCGAATCAATTCCGACGAGACCATCCGGCTCCTGTGTTTAATCCTGTCACGCGGTTGCTTAATATAATTAGGATTAATGTTCCTCTGGTAATATCGATGAATTAAAAATTTAATGAAATTTAAGAATTATGATCTATTTAATCTAGTTGGTTCTTTGAAATCAAACGGTGTCTTCGAATGGAAGGATTTATTAAAATATTTTTTAGTACTACAAATAGTATTCGCAAGTACTGCAAAATTTGCTATTGCCATTTTCTTATTCAAATTTAAGAAAATCTAAAAAGAACAACTTTCTGTTAAATTTATTCTGTAAAAATATGTATAAGAATATTTTCATTTTTCATAATAGAACATATAATAGAGTAAATATTTCTTGCATAAAAATAAAACAATTTTCAGAATTTAAATTGACCACTTATTAAATACTTAAAATTTTCCACTTACCGTAAAATGTGAAACGTGAAGAAGTATTTACAGGTATAAGTGTGTATGAGTGAAAGTATAAATTGAATTTACGTACCACACAAAGTTATGTTTTATTTATTTGTTCCCTTAACCCCTAGACCTACAATATCGTGTCAGACTCGTGATAAAAATTTTAAACTGAATTTAAGAAATCTAAATGTTCTTTACTTGTTTTAAATGTAAATTAAATATTACTTTTCTATCACCAATGGTTAATCTTTTAAATAAACGTAGACATAGAATAAGGATAAAAATTTCTTCTTTCCCTAATAAATTATTAACTAAAGTAGTTGTATCGATCACAATTGACAAATAAATCATAAGGTAAGGTAAAAGATGTATATATTATTTAAACAATTGTTCAATCGTCTCTTATCTTTCCTCATTGCAGATAATAACGAAGGCATCTGATTGACTAAAAAATATGAATATCTTATTGTCCAGAAGTTCTCGCATCAGATTAGTTTCGTTTCTCAGTTAATCCAGACAGCAAAAGTTTCACACCACTGGAAGCTGTAGATGACAAGACAGGGAGAAAGGAGTCACGAATAAAACGAATCGAGCCGGGACAGTAGAGGAACAGGAACGTCGGTCAGGGTATAATATTACAAAAACTCGATTTCGCTTTGCTAAAAGTTTTATTTCGTCCACCCAGGACAGATAGACTGGTCTGTGTTCGTGTATGCAATGGAAGAGAGTGTTCTGTACGCGTTATTTTCTCTTGCGTGTAAGTCGTGTGTGTGCACGTTACACCTCGTTTACTCGTAGTTCCCCTACCGTCGCAATTAGTACAATATAATATGTATAGTTTTTTTTATTTTCGTCTATCTCGTTAGCATACAAAAGGGATACAGGCACACAAATATCAAATATGCATCCGGTACTCGTTATGCTATTGATTCAGTTATAATTACACTCACAGCGGTACTCGTAGTCCCCCAAAATTTTACAACACTTCGCGGACCGCTACCGCACTCTCGCGCTCTGTATAATTATTACCCCCATTCTCGCCGCGGTACAATTCTTTCGTTACGCTATATAATACAATTATATACAAAGTGGTCGCAATCCCCGTGCCACGACGGGCGTATTTATAATACGTATTACACATACATGTATAAATTACAATCGCTATATACATTGAGAAATAATGCGGCGCGTTTAATAGTATCAGGGATGGTGGGTGGCGAGAACGTTTCTAACTTGTCGACCCTATTAAACCTATGATATAAACCCGTTGTCGTTGTTTTCCCGACCCCCGCGACTGCTCACCGCAGATTATTCGCGTGCACCTTGCGACCTCACGTAAACTGATCGACCGAACGGTCGTTCATATTTATACGATCAATGCCGGCGCAACGCCGGTCAACGTAACAACCTCTCGCCGGGTTCCTGAATTTTTTACTCGGACACCGCTCGACGGACCCGCGCAATCCGAACGAAACATCGATCGAATTGCCTTCGCGCCGAATATGTGCACCGACACCGCGACTGTCAAGAAATAACGGCATTCGTATTAAATCGCGGTGAAGCCGTCGGGCTAACTTCGACATTTCCGAACTTGGAAAATTCAGAATCACTTTTATGTGTTTGTATATTCCTTTTATCCAGAAATTCGATGACTCTTAGAGCGATGGAAATTAAGTTGTTTTTATAAATATTTCTGTTTTTAGGAACATAGAAACTGAACGATTCAAATTTTTTTGGAACGTACGGAAATTTTTTATGTGTGACTTGTAGATACGTCCTTAGTGTCATATATTTGTAACGGAGTTATTGAAGATGAAGTTTGCGAGATTGTTAATTAAGAATACTTGTGCGTACTCTTGATACTGAGATTAGTTTGAACTTAGTTTATTGAAAATGTTAACTCCCCGCTTTACGATTTTTCTCGCAACTACAATAACTAAAACTACTTTGGCACTAATCGTTTGCTAGAAAATAAATATCAATACAACAATACAGTCTTAATTTTGATTTAAGGAAAATAGATAATAACATTTAGTGATGTCCATTTGAAATCTGCTCAACTATGCAGTCTATCTTGATATTATAAAACAATGAAGGAGTTAAATGACATAAAGGAATCTCTTCTCCGTTTAAAAATGTATAAATATTGACATTAAGACGTTTCCCGAAATTAATTACAGTTTCATTCTCAGCTAAACGAACCCCTAATCACTCGCATTACAGACTTACATTTCCCATTATGTGAAATGGAAATGCATGCAAATAAGACAATCGACGAAAATCTACAATCGCCAAACAAAATATTGCACGGGTCGAACCTTATCGAAAGTTTCTCAACCAAATCCGAGAACCGATAAATCCACGTTACTCCGAAAGTCCGAGCGCGGTGGTAATCAACTGAAAGAGCTAGACCAAAGTTTTCTCAGCGATCTCGCGTACCGATACGCAGAAGACCGTGTGCGCGGCGCACACGCGTGCATAATGCAGCCCGGAGGGCCGGTCGATCAAACGGCACTCCGTCCCTTTTTTCCTTCTTCTTCTTTTCTCCCGTCCTCTCCTCATGGGTCTCGCGTGTACGCGCACGCACTTGTACGTCGTCGTCGTCGAATAAAAGATGGGCCAGTCCCCCCGGCCCCTGGCTGTCCACCCCACCCTAGCTCCCCACCCTCCACCGACGGCGAGCTTCTTCCCGCATTTCTCATGTCGGATTGAAAAAGGGTTGTAACGGGTGATTTATACCGCGGGAGTTCCTCCGGTTGCCTCGGTCTAGCCCCGTGTTTTCTGTATCGTGCGTACCGATGCAGAACCGATCGCGCCGTATCTCGCCGATATCGGCGGACCGTGTTCCCGTATCTCCGCGTATCGGCACCGACGCGACGTCTCGCCACGAAGAAAAAATTACAGAGCTCATAAAGGGCGCGCCAGGAAACAGAAGTCGCTGGGAATGGTAATCGTTCCGCCGAATATGCAGCGGAGCTACGGATGTCGAATTTGGTTGGAAACTGTATCGTGACGTTCATGAAGAAGATTTTGAAGAACATTACTTCGTTGCTTTTATTTGCTTTGTTCGGAGGTTTTATTTTATATTAACCATTCTGTTGACGGAGAAAGTTTAGGGTATAGAGTGCTTTTACTGGTTTAATACCATTTTAAGAGTTAGCAATCATTTAATTTGCTAATAATACTGAATGTGTGTCAAATGGAGTTGATATTCATTAGAATACTTATATTAAACGGTTAGAATAAAATGGCGATTTTTAATTAAGTAAATCATAAAAATGTGATGATACATATCAATGCGAGAGCCTCACATATTTTATGCTTTAAAAGTATCAAATTTATTTTAAAGGAGGAGGTATTGTAATAAAAACATTCTATTTCCTAGCTAGAAGAGTCATCCGACGTTTAACGTGGTAGGGATTCGTGTGATCTCTACAATAGAATTCGTAATAACTGTATTATTTCAGTTTAAGTCGTTAAAATTTGTTGTTCTTTACTACGATTCTTACTGTCACCAAGACAATCATTAGATAATTGCGCTTAAGTTATTTTGGCGCTCCATTAAACCTTCAAGCTCCGAGTCTAGATCTCCGAAAATCTGAATTCTTTCATTCGAAACTTCTGCCCGAGAAAAGTATCCCTGGAGCATTGAAAGAACAATTTTTAACGTAGTTCCCAAATACAGATGTTCCACGCAGCAACGCCGTCCCTGATTTATCTCGGAAACGTGAATTCGCCCGGCGGAGTTCAGACACCCGACGAAAAGTTACGACCGTTTGATGCGCGCGAAGGCTCCCTTAACACACAAACGGCGTAACAAGTCGAGCGAAACTTCCGAAACTCGCTTCCTCGTGAAATCATTTATCGATCGTACGATTCGTTTAATCAGTCGGTTACCAGCGGCACCGCGCGGGCCGGTTGTTCCGTAAGCAGAAAAACCGTCGGCGATATTTCTTCCCGGGACAGAAGCAAGATTACGGGAAGGGTTTAGGCGAGGAAAGTTTAACGGAACCCGCGGAATATAAGCTCGGTACCGCGGCGCAGCGACGATTTAAAACGGCCGTGCGATATCGCCGCGATCTCGGTGCACACTTGGCGTTGTCATTGACATGTCGGCAGCATGCAGCTTCGGCGCACAAAGGAACCATAAAGTATCGCTAAGAAGTACGCCGTGAGCAGGCACGAGAGTACCTTCCTCCGTCATCTTTATCTACCTCTCCGTGTCGGAGAGCAGCACCGCTTTAACGATCTTCCTCTCTCTTCTTCCATTCTCTCGTCCTCGTTCCTTCCTTCCTCACCTTCCTCCTCATCTTTATTTTTTTTGCTCCTCTACCCCCCGTTACAATCTAACCCCCTCGATCCTCCCCTCGCACCCCAGCCAGGTTATTGATTTAATTCTTCCTTAACGTATAGTCCGCGCGTGAACGTCACTCCCTACCGCCTCTGCACGCTTAAGATAAATTGACGATTATTGCCAGGGGGGTAACTTCCTAGGTACTGGAAGTGCAGGAAGTTCAAGGTACTTAATGCTCGGTGCCCGGGGTTATTGCAGAAGTTCAGTGAAAAATTGCGGCGCGCGATAAGGATCTCTCGCCTTTCGCTTTCCCTCTGTTCACGAGCGCGTAACGCCTGTCATCGGAAGCGCGAAACCCGAACGGCTCCGAACTATAGTCGGGATCGAAGTCAATTGGCCGCTCGAGACCGTTCCTCGGTCGGCAGTGAATCACGTCCAGACACGATTCCTACTTTTACACCGTGTCAACTTCCTCCCTTTGTTCCGCGGATAGACAGGCGCTGCATGTAGGTTCGCGCCGGTGCTGTCGCACCGATGCTTTGGAACTCGAGTCTTCCACCACTCTGCCAACGGTAATTCCTCGCTGTACCGCTTTTAAAGCTGTGGTGCGGTGGAGCATGACTATTTATTGAAACGTTGAATTTGCTAGCAGTGAACGATTCTACATAGGAAATTGTTGATGTATACGTATTTTGAAATGAACGAATAATCAATCATTTTAATCCTTTGCAGTAAATACGAGGAAGAATAATAATCTATGAGGAATGAATAATTTGTTTGGTTGCTAAGTAACTATTACCAACAAAATGATACTCCTGAGGTTAGTTATGAACACCTCACGAGATTTCTTGTTTTCATTTTTGTTCGGTACGTAGTTGCTAAATACTTAAAAATATTATAATGAATTGATTGAGTTTATTTACTAAGATTGCTACTAATGACAATTGTCTACTTAAAGTAATTTTATATAGTAGTAATTTATTTTAAAAGTTATTTAAAAGCTAGCAGAAATGATATGCGATTGTTCAAGTGTTAAGTAACCCACAAATAATTATAAGACTTCAATATCTATTTAATGGAAAGTATTAATAACTTACAAATATAAACTATCTTCAGACCCGATTGCTATATACACAAAATACTCGTGCTACGTTAATAATATTCGCCCCAGTTTTTTAATATCTACCATTTTCAAGAAAGGAATTTTATTTAAATGTTGGTATATCTCATAGTTCGTAATAGAGCGTAACGATAACATCATCGTGACTATAGTAGTTTGGAGAATGTTTTGAAAAATGTTCATTTTCAGTTAATGATCAATTTACAAGTTGGCAAAAGTATCCAGACTTCGTTGAACGAGGACCTGTCAAGAGTTCCAGCTCGTCGACAGCACCGGCATATGCAATAGAATAATAAACGAACTATAGATCGTGGTGGGACAGTGACCTTGAGCGTCCAATTCATTTTCCCTTCGACTATAGAAGCTCAAGCGCGTGAGAATCGTAATCCTGTCCCCTTACGAACGACACTGAAGAGCCTCGAAGCAGTCGTCCTCTTATCATTCCGCCGCCTAATTATTAACATAAAAATAGTCGCTTGCGTGTGATATTTGTCCTCTTTCCTCGCGTCCATCAAAGTAAAATCGAGAAGTGAACAAGAGTAGGAAAAGAAACGACGATTATTATTGCGACGAAGTTATTATTTGCCCCCCAACTTAAGGCGCTTGAAAGGAGTGTATACGTGTGGGTATCCGTGTCTCTGTTTGCGTGTGTGTATGTGTGTACGCATGAAATAGATTGTGTAAATGTAGGTACGTGTCACGAGGTCCCTAACGGTTATATTTACACTCGAAGCACTCTCGAAGCTGTCACGCTTACGGTTTACTTTAACATTCTACGTGGCGACGATATCGACGATTAAACACTAAATATACATAGTTAAGTTCCGATCGTTGTAGATGCTACGCGTGCTTTCGTCTCCGTCGGGAGAGCCCTTCGCCGAACGTCTTCCAAGTGAAATCATGCTCGGGACACTCTACGAGAGACAGACCTGAGAACAGATACCGAAAGGAATCACTCGAAGTACCCTTCAGTCGTTCGGTAAAAAGAGAAACTAGAGAACAAGCTGTTAGTTCGGAAGAGGTTCAACGAAAGGTTTCTACAGCAAAACACGCGTGAACTCGCGCTACCCTTCACCGCGCGACTTCATCCCTATAAAACCACGAGCCGATTCCCGTTCGCTTTTCTCCCGAACCGAAAACGATTCGCTTTTATTACTATTAATTTGCTTAATATATCACAATGTGGTCGATTTCCCTTCTCCACGCCGTAACACGATCTTTCCTCTTGCCCTTTCCCCCGTTTTCTTGCTCGCGTTCTCATTACGTACACATGTATTTAATTATTGTTGTCTCATCCCTGTATTGTCGATTCCTTACGTCTGGTTAATATCTCGATTTTCCTCGTTGCATGAAGGCGATGTCGGTAAGTGATAGAGAAATAAAGTCGGGCTTATTACAATATATCGTTATATCATACGCTTAAAATCCGCCGATAATACGTAATTACCTTCTGCTCTTTTCTCTTGTATATATATCTATTTATATATATTTTTTTATTTTCTTATCCCTCCTCTTGTCTCCTTACTCTCGTATGTATATATGTATATCGCATATATACGCGTGTATGTATATACGTATATAAATTAAAGATCCGTTACGGGGCGCTATATGCTGCGATAATAAATAATACATTCGAATATGTGTGCGCGTGCGCGCGTGTGCACAGTCGCGCTAATCAGGATACACCATTATTTTACTTGACATCAGTCTTGTGTGAGGCTGCATCGAAACTCGCTAACGTTCCCTTGTTTCCCGCGAATCCTCCGTCGATCCCTCTGTTTTCTTTCTTACTAATTCTCCACGATAGATACTCTAATTATTCCTGTCGATTCTTCACGAATCGAATCGCGGATCGACTTACGCTTTCATACACAATTCGATTCGCAATTCGAGCCGTGAATCGATGGAGATTAATCAAAGCGACTGATTGAAATGAGTCGGATTACTAGATAATATTGAGTTGCATCGTCAGTTAATTTTTCAAATAAAATTCTTCTATGGTGTGCTTTCCTTTTTACGTTGTGTCCGTGGTGTTTTATAATTATGTCGGTTTTTGATCGAACTAAGACAAAATTATTATTTTAAGGAATTAATTAAACATTAAAGTATATAGTAGATAATTGAAACATGACATACAATGGACATTGTTTAATTGATTAAATAAAGCTACAACATTCTAGTACAGTCACTGATATGTTCATGCAACCGACGCTACTTTTCCACAAATTTAATGTAACAGTCAATAATATTCAATATACCAGTCAAACAACTGTTTTCTTTCTGTATAAAATTCTGTTATCAGATTTTTAGTTTTAGCGGAAATTCGAGTTAAACGCTTTAAAAACGGTGAAAACGTCGAGCAGTGAAAAACGAGCACTTCCGGCACTTGTTGCTCGGATTCAATCAAGGTTTAAATGATGTTAAATCTGCTGCACATGTTCCAACGGTCTACACAGAAGATTCTATCGGTATTTTAACAGCTTGAAAGTGATTTGCACGCTACAAAGAAAGTAATTTTAATGTTATCGGCAGTAAATTTTTATCTAAATTTCAAAATATGATAATATAAACTTTTGGAGAAAAGAAAAAAGATATTCATCCTGGTACAGAAGATCGTTTTAAGTGAAAAAGTATATCGCAGTTAGAGACTAAATTGTCCTTGTTAAGATAAGGTTTTCTATTTGAAAAAAACAAAATAGAAAATTTACTAAAGTACTTCACTCGTATCACTCAATAATAAATGATTCAAAAAGATAGAACGAAATTTTTCAAATTTTCGTTCTGTGGAAAATCCAATTCGAAGATCTATTAAGCGCACCTGTGTTTGGCTATTTGCCAATAGAACGTGTTCAAACTCGATTTTGCTGAAAGCGAGATCTCAAATGAAAAAATTTTATTCCACATTTTCATACATAGAATAATCCCTTCGATTGCACTATCTACATTCGATCAAATATCAACCAAATGCATGAGTGTTCGACAAATATTCACCCTTGATTTACTCTTGAACGAGATCTAAAATAAAAATTATTCTATAAAACAATATTAAATATTAAATTAATTTATAATATTAAATCCGAAATAGTTTTTTTATGTCACACCACATTTTTCCTTGTTAAACCATCAATTATAGAACACCTTCTATAACATTTACCATGAACACAATAATCGCAGAAAAATTTTATTTCGGAGAACAAGTATTAAAGATTTACGATACAACTCAACATATTAACCCCTTTTTGTATAATAACGAATGAGACTCAGTATCGTTCATTGTATAAAAGTCGAAATAAAATATTATGTTTACGTACCTATAATGAACGCACGATATCTGTGCGATGTTACAGATACTTGGTAATCAAATAAATTTGACGAGAATCATCGTAAGATCGTACAGCAAGGGGTTAAAAAACAGAAAAGAGGCTGCTCGCCATTCCATTGTCGCTTTCCTCGTATTCGCCTCGGTGTTCGGATCGATAGCGAGCTCGATCCGGTTGCACATACGCGCTGAACAGACGAAACCATTTAAACCCACGGACGTCTTCTGGAAATCCGTTCGGTTCGCGCGCGGATTCCTTATCGCGAGTCGGCGTTCCTTTCCGCGCGGGGAACGCGGAACCGAAACGACAGGGTAGGTATCGCAGAACGGCCATGCTGACGAAGCTGCGCTCACCTCTGCACGGTTACGCGCCGCGAAAGAATTGTGGCAGTGAGCGGAAAAACGTTCGGAGCACGCAAGCCCTGTGTGCGTGCGCGATATCAACGAAAAATATGACTCTTTTTTTAGGCTGGGTGGGGCCACAGAAGCCTGTAACTCAGCCGCAGCTTGGAATTTAAGAGAGAGTTGAAATAACTTTTTTCGCCCATGTGTCTCGGGGGAGAAGTCTGCGGAAGATGTACAGGGTGTCCGCTTTATTAGCATCTGTTGCCTGGATGAGGGATGATCGGTGTTGTGTACAGTTTGATTCGTAGAACGAATGAGAAATAGAATCCGATTTTCATTCCGATTTCAATAATCGAACGAATTATTTGGTAAATTAGGTAATTATAGAACAAGTTAAATAGGTTACTGCGAATGAATGGTTATTAGAAAAGATAAACCATTTAAATAATTGCCAATTCGGACACATTAAAATAGAATGCGAAAAAAAGCTTGGATAAGCACTTTTTGTTGTATCATTGATTCTTTCGATCAATTTTTAATAATGCTCCTAAAGCTTCGAAACATGAAGACGAATTTATTATCCTTTTTTGTGGACAGTTATAGGTGATTGAGATGTCTAGATCGAGCCAAATACCTACGTCGTTGTGTTTATGTAATGTAAAAAATCTAATATAAAAATGTAATATAAAAAGTCTTATTAATATTAAATAAAATCACCTTCGCATTTCCGAGATTATTAAGAATTGACGAAATTCAGTAAATGTACTTCGTGTAAAAGATTCGATGTACTTTTTCCTCATTTGTCCTTTCCAAATTATTCGCTTTGAAACGGTTGAATATTATCACATTATGTAATGTATCTTATATTTCAAATAAAAAGTTTTTTTAAATTGTTCATTCTTGAAGAACCGGATAAATAATTCGAGTAGACCAATATTCACCTGCAAGAACATCCTGTATCCTTTACGCAATTTATTCTTAAACAATTATTAATGAAACCTGAGGTAATAACAAAAATGTCCGTAAAAGATAACAAGCAAAAGCAAACGTGAGAAGCATATTTTCCATTGACAACGTGCACGTTCGATCCCGCAAATCGAGTCCCCGACTCGTCCCTTGTCGCGTGTATAAAAAACCGATGGATTGTTTACGCGCTGACGAGGCGTGACTAATAATTGTTGGTTCGTGGTCGTGCACACCCTGTACTTGGTAAAACTGGCAGAAAATAGAAATCGTAGACGAGACCGCCGGTCGGGGGCATCGAGTATTCGAGGATCGGCGATCGCCTCGGACGTATATCGCGAACAGAACTTCCAGAAGAGTCGACGGAGCGCGAGCGCGCGCCGTCGTTAAACTGATATGCCAATTATTGTAGTTACAACTCCGGTTTACGCGTTCTGCCTACTATCGCTGGAAGTAGGTTAAGTCCCCTAGAGCACGATACTCGAGGTACACACCCGCTACTAGGTATATAGTATGCTCGGAAAGTGCGCTGATGGCAGTGTTCATCGAGAATGATGTCGATGGAATCGACTGCGTCGATCACCGACTCGCTACGCGTTCTAATTAGTTGCTTCGAAATTTAAACGCGGTGAACGACGCGGTTCGAACTCGGAGCGTTCGTTTTCTGCTCGATCGGTGCAGTCGATTCGAGATATATCTCGCATTGTCTCCCCTACTTGATTCTCCGTTTCTCCTCCTATTCTTTCGCTAACCCTTCAACATCCAACACCTTCTCACGAACGATCGAACTTAAAGACGATCTAAAGTTGGTCGAGAAACTCACGTAAAAACCGATCGTATCAATGTTCACGTGCATGGATAATTTAAATTGGATTATTTACAAATTGAAATCGTGCCTCGATGGTTTAGAACGCAAAGGTGACTCGCGAAGGGCCCGTGGATGCTGAAGGATGGGATTTATCGCGTGACCTCTCTACGTCGAGTACGAAACTGTATCGTACCTTTGATCCAGCGGCGTGCCGCGTGCATTCCGCAGGATACCAGGGGTCCTTACGCGTATCTGTGCAACGAGTGTTCGCGGCGCTTGCTTCCCCTGCGCTCGCGCTCGCAAATTGGCTCCGGGCTCGGCGGGTTCGAGTATGTCAGATTGCTGGAACCTCGAGGGGGCGGCGCGCTCATCGGCGGCGGTGGCGGAGGGAAAAAGCTCTGCAAGCACGCCTGGCGCAACGGCACAACAGAAGAAAATGAAACGTGTTGCTCCGTCTGTACCGAAATTGTGAACAGTGTTTGATCATTTCATCGCAGCCATGATTGTTACAGTTTATGCGTTCGGGGTGAATTTGAATTTGTCGAAACGGTGGGAAGTGATAAATATTACGTAAACAATTGTATGGTAACATTAATCTGTAGTGATAATAATGTACAATTGCATAATTAATTTTAAATAAACTTAAAAACACTTCAAATAATTGAATCCTTTAAATTGTTAATAAGAATTACACGCGTAAGATGTAATAATTAAGACTGTGATGATAAAGTATAATAAAAATACAACAAATATTATTAAAGTTTAATTTTGGGCGTTATGTTTTATCTTTTACTGTAACAAATGATCTTACAAGAGACCGACGATCTTCTTTAATGTTTATTATTCAAAATTTATTTGTAAAACTATTTTTACATGTAAGTAACCGAAGGTTAACTTCAATTACAAACATAAGAGATTGTGATGTGTGTGTGTGTGTGAATTAGATACATTTTAAAAATGAAATTAGACTATGAAGATTAAGTTAGTAAACACATACCTTCGCACTACCCCTTGATGAAGACTTCGAGAATACGCTATCCTGGTCGCTGCTTACACTAGGCACGGGCATTGGTACTGCGTAATCGTAAGTGGCATCTGTAAGCAAGTTTGAAATGTGTCTTGTTTAATTATTAAAATGTCATCTCGAAGGGAAATACATCAGGAGTGTTGCGTTCATAACAAAGTACGTGTGAATATTTTTTACGGGATAACAATAAGTACTTCCTAATCGATAAACAATGAAACTTTAGTATCAAATAAATGTAAAAAGCACTATTGGAAATTTATAATCGAAAATACAATACCAAAAGTTTCTATGCTAAATTATTAAAATAGCTTAAACTGATTGTGTCTGTTTCAAATACAATAAGATAGAGAGTGTACGGAAATAATAACAAAACAATTAATCTCTGTTTAAACAGTGCAACTTTATTTAATACCACTCGAAAAAGTAATTAATTTTTATTTATTCGTGCTTCTTTACGCGCGTTCGTTATTAACTATTTAATAAACTTATTATAACCAAAATATCAAGACTCATTACATATTACTCCGATCATAAATTATTTTAATCGCACCTTCGTGAAAATTTTCTGAACTCATTATAAGACAAACATCTCCGAAACGAAGTAAGATAAAACTCTCGGGCAATTAATCATACTTACCAGACTGTTCAACGCTGTCATGAAGATCCTTGTTATCTATAACAACAGTACTGTATCCATAGTAAGCTGCGTGGGGTGGTTCCCGGTATTTATTCTCGTGAAAAGGTTCTTGGTACTCGTCAAGCCTGACATCGCCCAGCAACCGATCGTTCAGGTCGCGGGGCAGCGTCGTCAGTTTGGTTCCTGCGTACCGATCATCGAGCTCCTCGACTCTATAAGTCATCAACGAAGGGTCCTTCTCTGTGGTACCGTACGCGGACTCTGGGGACAGGTGTTGATGGTTGCCCGAAGGTATCGCGCTTTTCGCGCCCAAGGGACTGGCGAAGTTCTTCCTTTGTCTGTGCCGCGAGACGATCAAAAAGATCGCGACAGCCAGCAGGAGGATCACCGCGGTTAAAACGCCGATGATCACCGCCATGTAAGTGGGATCGTCCTGCTTTACGACTGGCACTTCGGCTTGAAGAGGATTGTCACGCGCTGAGATCCGATCCCGCAATCTCGGTGCCTCGGTCGTGGGCGGCGCTTCGGGGGTGAAGTTGCCGTGACCGATGTCTGCAACAGAAAATCCTTCCTGATCTCGATATGCACACACGATGTCTGCCGAGGTTGTACTGTAGCTATTGTGTACTAGGAGGAATATTGCTTAATCCTATTTTTAAATAGACAATTTCAGAAGTTTATATTTTAAATTATTTACGTAGATCTTTTCTATGATAACCAATTTATGCAGATGTAGTAAGACCCTTCTATGACTTTATTCTTAACTTCATCGACAGTTTAATATCAATTGAAATCTACAAAATGTTGCTTTTGTAAGTATTATACGTAATTAACATTATTTCCATTTCATTCATTTTTCATTGTTTTTCGTCTAATAAAAATACTTTATGTAGTAAAAAGTAAACTATGGATACTTCCATTAGGTACCGGAAAATGTTCGTGTGGGTTTTCAAGACAAAATTTTAATAGAGAGAACGATTTTGTAAAATTATTTCATTTCATTTGGTACGTATGATATAAAAATAACTTGCTGCTAATACCAAATTTATTCTTTAAACTAATGACATTATAATCGCACCTCAATTCATTGCTAACAAGAAAAATAGCATTAAATAATCTTCAATATTATTCGTACATGTTCTTCCTATGTTAAAAATACATATAAGCTCTATTGAATTTCATAATAATTTTTATTACTTAATACCGTAAGATAAACCATGAAAATTAATCTTCACATAAACATTTCCGATCTATCGTTCTTACTTTCTCAAAAATAAATATTAAATTTGAAAAATATAATATATTATTTACTGAAGTATTTATTGTATTATATAATCTCTGAATTGATTAAATGTGTATGTTATGCAAAAAGATTTAGTATAAAACGTAATACTCACCGGAATCGAAGGTAATTTCACTGATCATAATCCACCGGGAAGCAAAGCTAAACCTTAATTTGACGAACTTGCCGATTCGATGGTGGAGCTTTATTGAAATATTTCTTGAATGCTCGAAAATCCTGTCCTCCATGTACGAGTACACGATCGGGTCTCCAGTATAATAACGCCCACCGATGCTAAACATTATACTTGCTTCGGAAAATACCTGTAGGCACAAAAAAGCATCTTTTCATATATTATTACAGTATGGGTCTTATTTCAAAGTAATTAAATGCAAGTATCCAAATACATAATTGGTGTCCTGAATCTGATTAATTTGTTATTAATGGATTATTAAATTTGATCCATCTGTAGTACTAATTAATTATTAATGTTTTCAGATTAAGTGTGTTATTTAATTCCAATTATTCTTTTCTTTCTAATGATTTGTGTTTAGTAAAGACGAATTATTACATTCATTATGTTCATCACTGGGTTCAGAATATTCTATAAAAACTTAATTTTTTAGGAAACCTAACACACTGCCATCCAAAATGTTGTCAGTTTCTCATTCCAGAAATTGTAGAAATATTATTCAATTATGCATGTATCCCAATATATCATTTTATTAATTCATTTATATTACGTCAGAAGCAGTAAAATGGTATATATTTTCGTCGTTACACACAAGTATAATTAATGACAAATAGTTTCCATTTCTACAACTCCCAACAGCTTCAACTCGTGTAAAAGAATGCAGAATAACGTTTCCATATACCTAAATCTGTATACATTTGATCATTTTCATAAACATTTTCTACAAACAAACAGCAGAAACTCACATAAACGAACAACATGTAATTTCCGCCACAGATGAAAATTACAACGGACCGCGTATCTCACGAAAAGGTTACTCTGGACAGTGAAATTAAGCCGTGCGTCGCGCACATTAAACACGATACACCGTCTAATATTCAACATTAATTATACGTATAACTCAGCATCTTGCGCGGTTAGAGCCCACGGGAGCCACCGCGGCACGGTTCCGCCAAGGAGAGCGCTGGATATTAATATATCCTCGCGATTCCTCTTCCACAAATACACCGGGCTATTTATTACGGTTATAACGAACAACTTTATAGAGGCAACACCGGGTTGACATCGACGACTTCGATAATTGCTAGCCTCTCGCGGCTGCAGCTTCCAGCAGACGGAGTCGCGTGGAATGCTAATTCCACCTCGAGAAAGCGTAAGATAGTTACGCGCGGAGAATACCCGCTGGAAACTAAGAGTGGGAAAGCTTGAGGTAGAGCTTGTCGCGGCTAGCAGGCTGGATGAAGACGGGACAAAGGGGGTGACGAAGATGGTTGGCGCGCAAGCGGGGTGGAAACGGAGATTACAAAGCTGAGATTATCTAACTCTCTTAGCCCCGAAGACGAACGCAACGGCGACGCGTATGGATTTTCAAGGGGGTGTACCATCGAAGCCCGCTCAAGCTCGACGGTCTGCGAGAGTATGAGGAAGCCGAAGAAGACGGAACCGACGGCCACAAGGTGGTGGGGACGTAGTGGAGGCGTGTAGGTGGAGCGAAACTAGCGATGCTTTGAAGTGCTGTCTTTCAGAAGACGTGTCCTATCCGCGCGAACGAACGCTTGTTAATAGGAGGGGACGTTTAGGGGTGGCAGCTGCTACCACCTAGCCGTCTCCTCACCCCTTTGCTTCGGGCTTCATACCTCAGTCATAGACTGCCGACTTGCCAGACTGTCGGTATTGTATTTGAATACGTGGCGTATCTGCTCCTTCGGCTCGTCGCTTGCCACTATTGTGCAGAAGAGAGAGAAAGAATAGCCTAACTCGAGACTGTACTCTCGCGACGTTCCCTTCCCGTCTTCCACGAACCTTCCTTCCTTCCTTCCTTCCTTCCTTCCTTCCTTATTTCGCGGCCGTCCCTCTCCCCAGACGCAACGCCGCCACTGCTGCCCTCGCCACCTCTCGTTTCTTACCTCTCCAACGGGCTCTCCATCTTGCCCGGTCGCGGGCGCACAATCGAGCTCCGAGCCGGGTAATGAGGCGCTCCATTCAAATAAATCTTGATACCGGTAGGGAGAGTGTTTCGAGGCCCATTACATAGAGATTTCGCGCATCAAACGACGTCGCCCCGGAAAACTTCTATTTTCTGCCGGCAGGCGGCCCGGCCATTGCGATCCGCGGATCATTGTGTCGCGATCGTCGTACGTGAAAGGAGGGGCGAATGTGAAATCATGCTCCTTTGGATTTTTCATTTCTCTGGAGACCGAATCGGTGGCTTCTTTTTTGGTCAGGTTGTTAAACGCCTTATTCCGTTGACTTTAATGCGACGCATAAGCTTGGAGATGTTATGGATGGATATATCTAAGGAGAATTAAGATTCGTCAGAGTTCCTTGACGCTTTTATTTGATTCTGTTTTGCGTGCGCATGTAACCATAACGCATAAACGTTTCTCCCATTTTATTGGTGTAATATATTTATGCATTTCTAAAGGCAACAGAATTATTAAAAGCATAAAACCGGGATTCAATAATGAAATGTAATAAAACTCCTGGACAGTAATTTTGTTTTAAACGTTCATTCGCAATCTAATATCCTTTCTACATTAATCTGCAGTTTTTTTAAATAGATTATGGCTTATTTATATCTCCTTGCATAATATATTTCTGTACAATATATTTAATTTATTGAGCACATACTAGCAACATCAGAAGCTACAAATTTCTAACCTACATTTCCAAGCTTCTCTCAAACAATAGCTCAACGAAAGTTACCAAGAAATGGAAAAGAAGAATCTGAAAACAAAACGTTCCGTTCATTTAAATTAACCAAAGACTAATCAACGCCGCGATATCCTCCGCCGCACTTAAATCCCGACCACAATTTTTCATTTAACCTCAGCCCCGAGGAAATAAAACGGAATCAGAAGCGAGCAGCGGCGAGATTCGGCGAGACAGCGAGCGGCAAGAAATTCCATTTCTTAAAAGCCGCTCTCCTTTCCCCATGGACTGTTTGTTGTTTCGAGCCCTTTTGCGCCGCTCGATTATGGAACAGAGGTCTGGCCAGGGTAATGAGGGGTTCCATTGAAATAAATCTTGATACCGCGGCGAAAGCCATTATATAGAAATTCGTGGCCGGAAGCACGCGGGGGCCGGAAAATTTTCCGAGAACGGCCAACACCCAGCGTCGCCGGCACCAACACGACCCCTAGGGCGGCTGCGACCGTTGTTGCCACCCTGTAAAATCGCATCGCCCTCCAGCCCGCCGCACCGCGGTTCGTTTCCTCTTTCTCTTTTCATCCGTTCCCAGCCAAACCCAGGGGCCCGGCGTTGTTGCGCCTCGTTACCCATCCTACGTCCGACCTTGACTCCGACGTGGAAACTGGATTTCATGGCGTGCACCACCGTCTCACCCTTCCCACTTTTCTTTCCCTCTTCTTCCTCCTCGGGTTGCGGATTAAAGACTGACACGAGATCCTCGCGCATATTTCGCCACGATTTTTTCACTTCATCTGTATTTCTTTCTTCTGCGTCTCGCTTCTTCCTTTTTCCTTTCTTGATACTTTTCACTTTTTCCCCTCCCAGCGTTCATTGTCATTCTTTTTTTTTCTCTTTGTATCATGACGCTGTTCACGCTGGCGACTCGCCGCCCCGGGCTCTTCCAATTTCCTCCCTGTCGCGCGACCATCTATCCCCATTTTTTCGTGCATTCTCGCGGATGCTCGGTGAAGGATCACGGAGGAAATTTGAAAATGACGCAGCAAAGGGAGCGTTGATAAGAAGATTATCGGGGAATTTTATCGTTTAATAGGTATTCATGACAAAGGGGACTCGAGAGATTCGATTGAGATTGGAATGATGAATAAGTGAAGGGTGAGATGTGATGTTTGGCGTGCGATTTAACGTAACGAATGTTGAATGAATCAATCAATTATTGAACGAATAAATGTGTAATCGTTTAAAAGCAGGTATTCCTTTTTAAACTATCCAAAATTTAAATGAAACATCGGTTACTGAGGTTGTCGGCCTTTCTAGTTTTTTAATTACATCAATTCTCAAGTACAATGCTAACGATTATAAGAGAATTGTGGCGAAAATTAAATCTATGCTTTACGTAAACTTAAAGCTATACCAAGCTTTATATGTCCCCATTATCATACAATTTTTTCAGGTACTGCATTAAAATTAATTAAAATTTTACACTTTCTTAGAATGGTTCTTGCCTGATAGTCATGAACACTTCCGAACTTTAATTTTAATTGTACTTGTTAACGGATACTGTAATGGAATATTATATGATATGACAACTAAATTACTTGTAATTTTAATGTTTTAACGTTTTGTTACATATATGTCTGTTACTTTCTAAGAAATAGAATAAACAATCAGTTATAAATAAAGACATAATATTTAATGGATTTATTTAAGTACCTTATTTGCTTCATTCTATGATATAGATAAATTTATAGAGTTGATTACGAAGTTTATATACTCAATATTACGGAGCAAGACAATTAGGATTGATGGCTAACAGACATCGAGCGTGACTTGAGGGTGTGCATGGTGTATAACGTATAAGTACGTGACTGTTTTCGGGGCCAAAAATCTGCCCGAGGGTTTGTTCGTGGGGATACGAAGATCACGACCCGCAAACGTTGGGGAAGACTCTGGTTTCTCTTTCCCCTGCTGTCCCTTCGTTTTACCCCACCTTCCAAATCACGACACAAAATTGACTCCATTGCAGGTTACACGCCGAATATTGATATTGGTAACGATCATTGAATTAAAGATGGAATGCCCTACCTTTTTATTATATAAGTGCGACGGAAAAACTCATGTAGTATTTCGTGAACAAACACGTCAATGTATTAATATTTATCATAAGTTATTTAAAAACAATGTTCCGAATCAAAACAATATGTAATATGTGATTTTTTAAATTGTTGTATAGAGAAACAACTTTAGAACGCTATAAGAAAAGATTGTAACTAATTATCGTCTTTTCGACTACACAATTTTAACCTGTAACTTCTTAACTCAGTGTATGGAAATTGTCATACTTTTATCACAATAAGATGTCCGTAGAAATTACGGTAAAAGATGTAGAAAATAATATGGGTAGTACATTAAATTTAGTAAAAATTAGGGTTAAAATCATATCTTCCTCCCTTATATTTAAATTATTTCTGTTTTCGTATTTAATTTAATAAAGATAAATTATTATTGTTTTATTCATTAATTATTTGTACGGCCCTAAGACGCATTAAATATTTCCAATTTTTGTTAAACGCCATATATATAATTTACAAATTTCTTCGAACATAACGTTCCAGCCTTTTTTATCATAATGAAATGTATTAACGATTTGAAGATTTAAAATAATTTTGTAATTCAACGATGACCAGGAGTTTTCCTTCAACGATGAAAGTAAAATAGAATTTAAGTGTTGACAGTCCTATAGTGTGTTCTTTAAAAGAAGAACCCAAAGAAACACCGACCATGACAATGCCTGTTCGCCACACTCTGAGCACCCAAATGTCATCAATCTAAGGTACTGCAGTGAACAGGTATTGTGATGGTATACGTTAGATCTCTCCTTTAAAGAAATACACTATAAAATAAGGAACTTGAATTGAAGAATGATTTGTTTGTAAAGCTAACAATTTATCCAGTTCAAGAGTTAAATTTCACATTTTTGCACGTAAAGTTACTTCTATAAATTTAATTTTGGTCTGTTCCTTTTTTATCTTATAAATGACTAAACAACATATGACGAATTCTGTAAGCTCAATAGTATCTTTTGATAGCGCAATAATATAGTCAGTTTAATCATTATATCTTAAGATATAATCAAGGGATTTCAAGTTTCTGTTGCACCCCTTCAATTCCAGAATTTACCTGCACATCCTTGGTGAACTGATTGTTGCAAAAAATGTGTACAGCCGAGAACTCCCTGACGTGGTCGAACTCGAATTTAATCTCGAGCGGATGGCCGGATCTGGTGTCATTTCTCCAGCCAACCCATCCCTGACCCCGTTCGGAATCGTAATAACTCATCTTGAAGTTATCCGGGCCGATCTTGCCATCGGTCAGTTGTCCCAGGCCGCGCAAGAGCTGTTCGTCCCAGTAACCATCGTAGGTCGCGTCGAAGAACTCCCAATTGCCGCGTTTGTCACCCTGTGGCATCGAGTACGACACGATCCCGTCGTTCCACGGACAACCGTACAATTCCACGCGCATACAAACGGTCCGCCGATGGTAACTGTACGGCAAGAAGCGAACTTTGCTTGCCCACATCGGCGGCTCCAGTTCGTGCTTCGACTCCAAGTACGTGTTTGTGTTTCCTTTGATCACCTGCGACAAACCATTTCGAAATACTTAGTACAAATCTTCTTCGACTGACTGATCTATAAAATATAACATTAACAGATCGTTAACTGGATTGTAAGTAGCTATGTATCCTTCATTGTGTACTGAATTTGTTTTATCTGTACGTATATATAGGTCAATCTGTTGTTGTATACCCGATGACCCATGTAGACGCTAACGCACTATGTACGATTACTAAGACCATAGATACGTCAGCGCAAAACATTCTTCCAGGTCATTCTTTCCATAATACTGCCTTCTTACTCCCCTCTACATTTTCCTTTAATATTAGAACTACCGTACAAGTCAAAATCACTGGCTTCGGTTATCTTACTTCAGAATAACTAATGTCTTAAAAGCATTGAATATTCGAAATAATTTTGAAAATAGTTTCACTTAAATACTATAATCTTAATTTTACTTAAATAAAATTCTCGACGATCTTAAAAAAAGTGTTATACTCGATTTTACGACTCGGAATCCAACAATGTAACAGTTTTGTTAATTTGCCCTAACTCTATAATAATATCTCAAGTAAATAATCAATGTACGTTTCCTTATGATATATTATTCTATAGGTATTATTATTACGTCAATCGCGTGATGTATAAGTGAAACGTGAAAGCCCCTATAGACACGTGAAAGAGATTATTGTATTTGAGAAAGATAGTAAATTCTACCTCTCGTTAATACAATGTAAATAATCATGTAAGTAAAATGTAGGAACGATTCGAAGCTACTCGTACATTAAACCATACAGCACATCGTTCGCTATGTCGGTGAAGGCATAAGTACGGTTTCCGAAGCGTATCATTAAAATCCCATAAACTATCGATGCCAGGTATCAATAATAAACATTCGAATAGGAATGCGTGTACACCTGTCGGGATCACGAATGCGATAAACCACGGTCACGTAAGCGGCCATACGTGAGAATCTCGTAGCAGGTTCGAGGAGCGCTGTCAGGCCGGTAAGTGGAAAATAAGAGGTCCTTTGTTTCGAAGGGACGACCCTCGACGACGCCGTCTGAGAAATTCCCGATCCTCCTCCGCGATACACGCGTTTTGGCCTTCGGGCTCGCGCTCCACCGGCGGAATAGAACGTGCGTTGTTCTATCCGAGAACGCGTGAAACGAGAAATCGCGGTGCCGTGGTATGCCTTAACGACTCGTAATAATGTTCCTAAAAATATTTCGTGCTCCTCCTCCACGGGAATGCTTCCTGGGATACGAACAGCGGTTTAGGTATTTTAAGCGTGATAAAATCTAGAAAATTCATAGAGGATGGGTTCTAGACTGGATTGCATTATCGCAGCGAGAGTGACGTTGATTGCCGCTGTTAAAATTTCTTATGGATTCCGTCTATAAAACAGATAACAAATGTGCATTATTTACTAGCGGGCTAATAATGTAAAATATTTAATTGTGATGTAGAATAAAGTATAAATGTTTTGCATATTCCTTTTTGCATATTTATATTTTTGTTGAGAATAGTGGAATGTTAATTCAAATTAAATGGGAGTGAAGCATTTAAGAATGGTTTCTACTTGCTAGACTTCTTTTGAATACACACATATAAACACCTATTTTTCGTGGATATCATATGTTACACATATCATCAGATAAGTGTAAAACAATATCATAGTGATAGTAATGAAATTGGAAAGGACGGAAACATATAAATGGAATTGTTGGATACACAAATAATCATACAAAATTCGGCGTTGGATGAATTCCAACTCGCGATGAAATTTACCATCTAAACGTAGCAAACTTGCAATTTAATTTCTTGCTAATCCAATTCTGTCACTCTACTGTTAATTTCATTTCCTTTATTCCATATATGTAAACCAAAATTTCAGAAATACACAAAGATATGTCTTTTATGAAACGATCTTCATAAAAGCATCAAATAACTAATTTACTATACTTCATTTCCTGCCCTATACTTTACTAGTAAAATTGAAAACTAAAATTCAGTGTAGAAATACAAAATCGAGAATATTTGAAACCATCGATGTCGTCGATACATCACGCGTGCCAATAAACGACAACGATTCAGATGACCAACGAACATCACAATAACTCAAATAATCTGCAGAAACTCCGAGGCACCATTAAAATTAGACAGCGTCACGTGCTCTCAATCACCACACAACGCGGCATCCATATCTGTCGTGTAACGTCTATCTCTCGTCGCTTTACGATGAAGTTTGTTTTTTCATTTAAAGTCCGAGACACGATCGCGGCAAGGAAACACGATTAAAAGATGATCGTCGTCGGCGGTCGAGCGAGTCGGCACGTTCTGCGACGGGGCGGTCCAGTAATTGGGACCAGTAGCTGACACCGTTTTATTTGCGCTCGTTATTCCGACCGCGACGCCGCTACCTGATGTTTAGCACATCGAAACGAACGCGCGGAGCGCCAGCCCTGCCGGCCGGTCGAGCCAGGCCGGCCCGGCCCGGCCCGACCCGACCCGGTGAACAGTGAAATACAATGAGCCGACACGTATGAAATTTCGCTGCGCGCCGCGGAACCCATCGTAGACAACTACCTCCCGTTCCCTTTACTTCGTTACAAGTGTTTAATGAGCGCACGCCGCGGCGATCCGTACTAGCCCAGCCGGGAATGCTCGTTAAGAGACTGAAATATGCCCGCGAATGGAGCGATTCTGAAAGAAGCCCGCTCCGCTGAGAAAATAAAATATCGTCGAAGCGGTCGGCGTCGGGGAAAATTTCGATGACGTCGCAACCGCGTGCCATGTAACTCGCGCCTATGTTTGTGTAAGGAATAAAGTGTGACGTAAATTGAGATCGTACGTATTCTCGCGAATATAAGGGGTGTAGAATTTCTGAGGTAAGCGGAATGGGATCCATTTGTTTCGGTCGGTGATAAAGATGGACAAGTTTGTTGTTGATAACGACAGAGCAGCGGTTGGATTCGTCAAAGGAGTGGGAAATTCAGTAGCAAAGATTTGAGGATCGTTGTTTTTTGGTTCATCGGTAGAGTATTGGAAATCAATATTAAGGTTAAGATTATGTATGTATATTTTTTGAATAAGAAAACTATTGCAACTTATGATACGAATGTGTGAAATTGAACTGATCATGAATCATATAGATACTTCTTTCTAGTATCAAATTCGCAACTGTTAAAGATGAGTTTATTAATAAGATTTACTATTTGAATAGAATTTAAATAACTAAGAATCTTAATCAAGATTATTTTCATCTACACTAACATTTTATTACGTCCCAGATTAATAAATACCTTCTCCGAGATTCTAACCTAAGAAACTATGAATCTCGCACATACTAATCGTTTTGTTCTCGTTTATCGTAAGAATAAAGAGGCATATGTCAGTTCATAAAGTGATACGTAAATCTCTACGGATAAGTAATATACCTCTGTTTTCATGTGTAATTGAAGACACCTAAGGAGAGTCCTCATTTAATGGCGGTCGTCTTTGATGATTCCCGAAAGGATTCCACAAATTTTTCGCTTATTCCGAGAAAAGCCGAAGGCGATTGCGGAGCGGGTAAAAGAGGGGCGAGCGAAAGGGCGAAAATACGACAGCATTTACGAGCCGTCGACTCGTCCACCAAGAAAAATAAGTAATCTCGATATTTATCTCCGCGCCCACGCGTTCTACCGCGAAATGACTCCGCGATCCCCGAGTCGGAAAGACTTTTCCAACGTTATGTGTCGGACCGAACGATCGTGTTTCTTAAAAATCATCCTGTCTCCCTCCTTGACCCCCTCCCCCACCACTCTCGAGTGCCTTCCACCATCGCGGTATTCCCTGTCACATTTCGTCGCAGACAAATTCCAGCTACGGGTCGAAGAAGTCGTAGCAGGGCGTGGCCCACCACCAACGCCCATTTTATGTTAATGTTTCCGTGCGTTTCCAATCCCGAATAGCTCGGTCGCGGCCTGCTACCGAACAGAAGCCGCCGTTGATGATGGCCCCGTGTCGTCGAGGAAGATCGTGACGGATAAGCTGTCTGACGGTTTAATTAGACGAATATTTACGTAGCGGGTGGTCCGCGAGGTGTAGCCGTCACGAATTTCCTCGGATGCGTCATGCGACCATGAAAGTGGTTCGTTGCCCTTTCGAAATTTTACTGACAGTGCTTACACGGATTTTGATGGAAATGGTTCGGGCAAAAGAAAGAAGGGCGATGAATTTCTTAACTGAGAAGATTCAAGTAATTTCGGAAGCGTAATTAAAAGATTTTATCCTGTGTTTTATTCAGTATTTCTGATTTAGAGATTCATTGCTAATTATTAATCTGTAGGTACATTTTCTTAACCTCTTGTATCAAGAACGTGTAAGTAGAAAATCAATTAGAGCACTTCAATATGCTTAATTAACCCTACGCCGTCAATATAGTTATGGTTTGGCGCGATTGTTTATTGTTGTGAGTTTTGTAAAGATCTGAAAAAATTCTGAGACACTTATTATAGTTCTTAACTTAATTCACAAATGACACTTTAGATAAATCTTCATATCCGTTTGCAGTAAAAATTAGAAACCGTGGTGAAGTAGTGAAGAGATTTTTCAGAGGCCTTTAATGGGTTCACTCTGCCGACCGAGGATTAGAAGGTACTCTGTGTCCACCTCATTCTCGATATTAACACGTATGGTAATAATTGTTTGTTATATCTTCAGAAATGAAACTTGAACATTTGCATTTTATTATAATTAAATCCTATTACAAGTCAAGACATTCTTGTACATAACCATCTAGAATTTTCGATTAGTTCATGCGATGAACATGCGACGTACTGCTCCAAATATTTTGCCAGAGCTACATCGCGAAGCAACCCCTATCCGATCGATACCGTTTATTGACAAGAACCAGCCAGTCAATTGACGTCTGCAAATAGACGCAGAGGGTTTGTTTAGTGTAGGATAAAAGCATATTGCTTCGTCGGATATAACAATATTTCAGTCGACCAACAGGAAGGAAAAACTACATACTTC